GATATTTTTCTGGTAAATAACTGGTCATGTAGCAAAACCTCTCAGTCTTCCACCCTCACAAATCATTTAAATTCCATCATTCCTTGGGGTTTTAAAATTACTTTCAGTGTGTTTAAAAGGGGCTGTTGACTAGAGATGAGTAAGCAGCCCTTCTCTTGAGTTAAAATAGGCTCTTTGGCTTGCAGCCCCTAATTCATTTGTCTTGCTGTCGGTCACAGTGGAAGTATCTTTATATTTTTTGAATCAAATGCTGTTCATAAAAATGAACGTGAAAATCAATCATGTGATAGCCACAAATGGCTCCTTTGCCTACTAATGTCACTGTGCACTCTGAGAACACTCAGTGCTCAGTGTTTTTAAATTTCTGGGCTTATTTTAACAATTGTTGTTTACAGGCTTCAAAATACTGTGTAAATTAATCAGTCCATTACCCTCTCCCTCGTGTTCAGGCTGTTTCTTACTTCCCTTCACATCACTAAAAGCTCTCTCACCAAAAGCCTTTCACTGACAACAAATCCATTCAGTAAATCCAAGTCTCAGTTTTGAGAGAAACATTTTATTTCTCCTAACTACCTTTATATATATAAAAAAAAAGCACTCAGCCATCCTCTTTTCTTGGAGTAAAACCCCATTTTCAACCTCCTCATTCCTTGTGCTTTACCCTGTTGGTTTCTAAGCCCTGTTTCAGGGAGATGTTTCACAGTTCTCTTGGACTTGTAATGATTTGTATCAGCTGCCAACCTGTGCTTCTTCCTGCTTGTCTTTTGTCTCATTGTCTCTTGATCTCCAGCTTCAAAAGCCATTTTTACATCTCATACAAACTTACTGCGTCTCTTTCTGCCTTGTATTGATCCTAAAGACCTCCCTCTGATGTGCTGATTGTAATAAATGACACTGTGCAAGGCCTGGGCAGAGACTGCTGAGCAAAGCTGGCACATCTCCCATCTCTGGGCTTGATCCTATTTCCATTCCAGTTGGTGAAAAATCTCTTATTGATTTTAGTACAGCAAGCCCAATATTAAATTTCCATGTATCTGTATTTATAGCTGCATTTCTGATGGGGAATTTTCCTCCTTCTTGGGCAGGAACTGTCTTTGTCTGTGTTACCACAGCATCTTGGCACCAGGGACAAATCTGGGTTTAGGATCTTATCTCTGTTGTAATAGAACCATAGGATCATTTAGGCTGGAAAAGACCTTTAAGACCATGGAGTCCAACCTTAACACGTGATCTAACAGTGCCAAGTCCCTTTAGCACCAACATCCAAGACTGGGAAAGAAAAAGGGAAAAGGATTTGGGGTTACTGGTCACTTTGCTGCCACATTGGAACGGGTGAATTTGCCAACTCTCTGCTCAGTTTTAGGAGTTCTTCAGTGGGAGAAGTTTTCCTTTTTGCTTGGCTGTATTTTACACAAACAAGCAGCATGTCTGACCTCTGACTGTGGCTATAAATATCCCAAACCTCTGTCAGATTATAGTGACAATGCGGTATCACAGTGCTCCTACTGTTTTGGTTTTGTTTTAATTACATGACTTAGTGTTATTTACTAATCAGTCTGGGAAGGTTCCTTGAATTTAACTGACACTGCTCTAAGCTGACAGCATGTAACATCCTGCTCTGTAGCTAAGCACTGGCTATATAATACCACATGAAATAAAGGAGGACATCATTCTCCTGAAAATATAACAGAGAATTCTGCAGAAAGTGAACTTCTGGATTCTAGAGGCCTGTCTGGCAACAAATTTAGCAAATCAAATAATACCAATATTTGATATATTAATATCAAATGATGGCTTGAATCTGTGCTCTAATTCTACACATTGTTAATTCAGATCTTGTATTGTCTGGCATTGCAATGCCTGAATCTTAAGGTTTGTGTGACCCACAGCAAGTGGATCCACTTTGTGGATCATCACATCTGGAGACCAAACCTCTGTGCACGTTGGACAGGAGGAATCCTGGAGGGAGTGTGGTGGCTGAGTACAAAGGGGTTTGAGCCAAAGCAAGGGCAGAATGGAGCAGCAGCAGATGCCATAATCTTTATTTCTTGGCTAGTGCTGCTCAGTCTCCTTGATGACTCAGTTACATGGGGAAATCAGCTTTCTGAATGCAAAGGAAAAAGAGTGCCTTTTGTGCCAAGGGAAGGTTCTTTCTTGGTAATGTGCTCACAAAGTAGAACATTAACCCACTGCATATCTAACTCCTATAATATAAATGTCATCTTCCTTAATGCTCAAAGCACAGGTTTTCCACAGTGAAAATTGTGAGGTCTTGCAGAGTAGAAATGAGGATATTTTAGAGCATTAATTGACTTACAGGGTGAGAACCTCACTCCAAGCCTGTGGGTTTGGATTTTTGTTCTTGGTTGGTTATAAATCTTTTTATATCAGTTGAAGATGACCTATTTTTCTAGTTGTAAGACTGGAATCTCTAAAATAATGTACCATTCTTGTCAAATGAACAAGACCTTTCTCCTGTTTTAAAAAGATAGTTATTTTCACGTGTGTAACCTGGGGTCATCTGCTTTAATTTGAACCCCAAGCCTGTGGTTTAGTGTTTTTGTAGATCATCTGCAAGTCATACGTAGGCAAAAATAATCCAAGTCTCTGCAAATCCTACCTCTGTTTTTTTGCAAGGTGATATGAAGGTTTGTTTTCAATAAAGAATGGTTTTAAACACGTGGACATGTTAAGAATGTGACTGAAAGCTGCATTACAGAGCACAGGCTCAGTGGACACTGTGGAGTCAGGCAGTGCCCCCAAACCCAGGGAATTTGGTATTTTAAAGGGGCCTGCTGGCACAATTCCAGGTGAACAAAGGCTTTGCCAGGACACCGAAAAGGTTGCCAGGGAAGGCACAAAAGGCAGGTTCTCAAAGCAGCTTTGTAAATTTGGCACCTGATTCCCATTGATGCAAAGGTTGAAGAAATCCCACGAGGAGATGCCTGGTTTTCTTCGCCGTGGAAGGAGCCCCGTTGCTGCCACAACATCATCCACAGGTCACCTGAAAAACAAGTGGAATTGTGCCCTCAGGAAATGGGTTTAGTGGGGCAGAGATGCACCGTGTTAGTTTGCAAATCATAAAGTAGTTTAAGTTGGAAGGGCCTGCCAGGCTTTAGCTTAACATACAGGAAAATTAAAATTTTCTGAATTATGATGTGTATTTATAAACTATTTGTCATCACAGTAATCAGGGGAATGTTACTCTGATTTGATTTAAAAACAAACAGGACCATGTTTGCAGCAACCTGTTGTTAATCAGTCTAAAAGACACCAATGGCTATTATTGAGGAATAGAAAGATTTATAAAGAATATAAAGATTCTGCAAGCAACTTTGGGACTTCTAAGACTGTCAGCTACTTGCTGCTTTATACCACAGGTGAAGAACTACTGTCATCAGTAAAAGGAGCCTTTAGAAAACCAAAATTTCTCTGTACTTGGTGGCGCTGGTTTTTATTTTCTAGAGATAATAATATAAATTATATCTAAGATATAAACACTTCTCTCCCCAGTACTTTTATTTAATTTCTGCTATGATGGCAGTTTTGTGCATTTCAACTTCATCTTTATTTTTTCTGCTGAGCCTTTATCTCCACTGACACATTTCTCAGTTTTAAATATTTGCATCTTCCTTTGGTTGAAAGTTTTCCTGGCTGTGCCAAGTCCCTTTTGCCTCCTGCACTTTCTGCTGACCCAGAACAGAGAATTGCACCCCTCTCCCCACACCTCTCTGCAGCAGAGCGTTTTGGTACCTTTTGCACCAAGTTTCCTTCAGAACTGAATGCCTCCCCCTTCGGGGTGTCCTGCTGGGCCAGGTTCCTGCTGTGGCCCCCGTGGGGAGTTCAGGGAGGATTGTGCTTCCTCACAGGCTCTTCCTTGTTTTCCTGGTGGGTTTTCATGAGGACCGTGCAGAAGAGCTCCTGGCCCTGCTGCTGCTCTGTGTTTATTTGTTCCTGTATGTGTTAAGAATATTTTCTTTTAATTTCTGTAGCTTCTGTTAGAGAAACTTAAGAGTTTGCTTTTAAATAAAGGTCCTCCTCTGTGGCTGAGAGCAGAAGTTTCCCAGCTTGCCTGTGCCCTGGCCACTGTACAGTGGACATTGGAATCCTTTCTGTTTTCAAATGGATTTGGGCAGGGCATGAAAACTGAACACAGTCTATTGCAGAATGGTTTTGGCACTCTTTTTGAGTAATTACATATCATTATAGTCTTATTTAAATGCAACCTGCCTAAACATTTTATTAGTACTTTGCTACTTAATTAACAACTATTGCTGAAAACAGTCCCCATACTGAGCCTTATTCCACTTAAGCATCCATGCTGATGAAATACAACTCCCCTTCTAAAGGAACAGATGACATTCTGTGGAATGTTTTTTCTTGGTTGGTTCTTGAAAGTGAGCCACTTATTTAGTGCTGAGTATCTGAAATTATTTAAAACAGTCTCTGCTAATGCTTTCTGCATAAAAATTGAACAGACTATATAAATAAAATTCTCAACAATAACTCACATTCTTAGGTGAAGAGCCTTCATACAACAAGCCACCAAGCTGTAAAGTGTTCAGATTTTTCTGCTGCTTAATCAGCAATTGTATTAATCTTGTGGTGCCACTGCATGTGTCATTTTGTTTGGTCTCTTACTCTCCTGATGGGTTCAGTAGGTTCAAAGCATGTAAACTGGAATGACCTGTGGATCTCACATTTCCCAGGGATGTCCACACAGAAAACCAAAGAGGTGTTTGGGTTTGGGAGCGCGAGAATGGACAAAGAAATGTCTATTTGTAACTAGAATTTATTAGTTTATTTTTTAAAGACAGTTTTTGATGGAGGAGTGCTGGGTACATAAAACAGTGCTCTGGAGAGTTCTGCAGGGTTTCTGGGAATTAGTGCTGTGATAATGATGGAAGATCATTTAGAGCTTTCTGCAGACAGGAAAGATGTGTCGTGATTTTCCTCCATAAGCTGCAAGCTGACAGTCTTTCCCATTCCTCTTTCTTTAGGAATCTCAGATGGAGGAATTGAGCAGAACACATGGGGAATTTGCTTTCAGAACTGAAGCTCAGCAGGACTTGGTTCTCTCCATGAGTGACAGAATCCTTCACAGTGAGTGACATGAGTTTCCCATCTCGTTATTCTTTGGTCAGACTGTGTTTCCAGTCCATAAGTCATGGTGGAGGGAAGGTGGTGTTTGAAGAGATAATCTCCTTTTTGCTGCTGTGTTCCTCGGTGGGACGTTGCCATCTTTCAATGTCCTATATTTTTGTCAGCCATTTGAGCTCAAAGTCAGCTCAAATGTGTCTCCTTTGGTTCACCTGTGTGTGTCCAACGTGCAACCCCTGTCCCAGCTGCCAACAGCTGGGGGAAAGGCAGGGCTGAAGGCTGGGGGGAAAGTCCTTCCAACCACTCCAGCAGGCCTTGCTTGGCAGGGCTTGTCTCTCAATGCCACAGGTGAAGGTTTTGTCTAAACTTCAGGCTCAGGCTTTGTGAGGGTTTTTAGATGGGAGAAAGAACTTCCCAAGATGTGTACAGGGAACCTTGCTGTGAGCATTCCCAGCCTGGACATGTTAGACGTGTGTACAAACTAATCCTGCTCTGTGCCGTTTCACAGCCCAGGTTTAACCAGGGCAGGACAGTCCAGCTTTAGATGGATGGTCCTGGCTGTTGAGTCGAGTTCCTGGAGAAGGTGGCTCAGGCCATGGAGCTCAGTGGGGCAAGAATTGTGACAAAACTCTTCCTTTGTGTGGGTGTTCCTAGGCTGAGCTGCCTGTCCTCAGCCTTCCACTGGAAACGGGGTCTGTTCCCTAATGGGGGTGAGCTGGAAATCCGCAGCTCGTCTGTGATGACCCTCAACTAACACTCTGAAGGTAAAAACTGGAGTCTTTTTCCTCCTGCTCCTTTCCCCTCCTCCACAGGTGTCCAATGTGGTTATTTACACCTGTGAAGAGTAAGAAGGTAGGTATAAAATGCTGTCATTCTGGTTTGGCAGTGTTTAACAACCTTGTAAATGAGTGTTCAAACCTTCAGGTGGAAGAGTGGGCCCTCTTTCAAATATTCCTTTAATTTTTTTTTTTTAATCCTCAATCTTTTTATGCTTTTTCTTTTTTCCTCCCTGAATAGAGTATCTAGAGTGAGCATGCAAAGTGATGCTTCAGTGGGGAATTTCTTAAGAGGGATTAATTTAAAAATGATTTAGGAAATCTCGTGATTTCATCAAACGCTCCACAAAGAACACTGTGAAGCACAGTAGCATGCACAGATACTCCTTTGGGAATAGGACACACGAGTTGAACTGTATTTTCATTAGGAAAATGTACTCCTTTTTATATCCATGTGAGTATTTAGTATTATTGATTCTAATGCTCTCATGAAACCCTTCAGCACTCAGCCTTCCCGGGATTATCACTGGGATTTTTGTCAGAGCAGGGATCATAGGACTGCACAGATATGTGTTCATGAACCTCTTTCTCATCAGTTTGCTGTTTTCTTTAGCATTTGTCCTAATTTAAAACCTGAGAGCTCCTGTAAAGTTGGAAGAAAATTGCAATGGTTGCCTTCATTAACGGAGGAAAAAACTTCCAGTAATTTTTTGCATTTTATGGCGTGTTTTTGTTCTGCTGGTAAGAAAAGTGTTCTCTGAGTGAGGGTTAAATGCATTCTTGACACTTGATTCCCTCCCCTGCCTGCTGACTCACCATTTCGTTGGCTCACAGCCATGGTGCAGTTGTGGAGTGTGTTTACCAAGTGCTTGAATCACAAATGGAGAGCTGGTGGATTTTCTCAGACTTGAAACGGTTGGGAAAAGTTTGAGCCTTTCAAATCAGCTCTAGAGCAGCCTACTCAGTTTAATTGTTCAGTATGTTTTTAGACAAAATGCATTTATGTAAAAACCCTCATTTAGAGAGGGACAGTGTCTTGGTGTCCTGACTAGTCACAGACATGTATGGAAGATGAATCCTACCAAGTCTAATGTGCTTTGGGATATTCCTTTCTAACTGGCATCACATTAGCATCCAGGGAAATAAGTCTGTTTCTTCCTGTTACATGTAAATACCTGAAGAATAAAACATCCCGTTTTTCTGGTCTGGTGAAGGCAGGCCCAGCCTGGGAATGGGGATGGGGTGGGTGTTCCAGCACCATGTCCAGTGCTGCTCTCAGATGGTCATGGGCATGAGGAACTCGTAGATTGCTTTATAATTCATAAGTGACATGGCTTTGGAGATAATTCCAGGAGCAGCCCCATGCAAAGGAGTGATGGCAGGTCATTATGGCAGGAAAAAAGATATTATTAAGGCTTGCTTTTAGAAATAAAGGGAGGATCAGAGTCAAGCAGTTGCCAGCTCCACACTCCAACCAGTGGGATGCTGCTGCCAACCAGCAAAGTCACACTTTGCCCTTTGCCCTTGGACCAGGAGGGCATCCCTTGGCAGTGCAGCTGGCAGGAGTTTGGAGTTGTTGCTCATTATGAGCCTAATGGACAAAAACTGGACTTGAAGAGGATTGTTTGCCAGAGTCTGAGCCCCTGACAACCGACTTGCTGCAGCTGCATACAAACTAAACAAGTGAGAGGCTAAGATAATGCAGGTCTTGAATAATTACCTATGGGAAGAGCTTTTTGTGAATTCCTTTATCCTTTTAGTGAACCTCTTGTAGGAATTGAATACCCCAGAGCCTGGTGGGCAGCGTGTGGCAGACCTGGGTGGAAGGGCAGCAGTGGGGAATGGCTGATCTTTTTTGAGTCATAGAAATTGTACCACTTGCTTACAGGCACATCAGAAACCTTTCTGGATTACTGACATTCATACAAAATTTCAGACCCTGCTGTTAAATTTCGAACTAAGGATATGGAATCCTTCCTCCAATGCTAATTATATCTGTCTTATCAGAGCCACATTATCTCTTCAAGAGGTGGCTACAAATATTCCCTGTACTATTACTGTGAGGCACTTTGTTGTGGTATCTGTCAGTCACAGGGGCTGATCTAGAAGCAGGTGAAGTCAGGAGGAGGATTTCCATTGGTGCTGGTGGCTTTTGACTTAGATCCATTGGATTTGTTCAAGTGACACCAGTGTCTGGAAGTGCTAGAGGAAAGGTGATGCAGTTTAACTTATAAACTGTTTCCTTTTCTCAAAATGAAAAGTTCTTCTTTGTCCCACAGAACTTTCGACAGTCCCAGATGAAAATCATTGTGTGAAGCCACATGGACTTAATAATTGGAATTTAACAGTTTTTAACAGTTCTGGTTTTTATTATACATTTATAATGAGCAAATTTTGTAAAGCCAAGGAAAGAGCACAAATTAAAGCAAAACGGTGCTAGAACAGTTCAAGTGGTTTGAATTCTAGAGGGGGCTGTTAGTCTGGCTTTCTTTGTAATCTGAAAATCTCCATGCTATGACTGGAGATCAGTTTTGGGGTTAAATCAGGCAGCAGAGATGCATTATGTTTGATTAAATTCTGAGGGGGTTTCATGAGAAACAAGACACCAAGAAGAGGTGAATTCCTGCTGTTTCATCCAGAATCTCACCTTGACTTTTTCCTTCACAACCAAACTGTCCCCAGTCCAACTTCTGACACTTGATTTGCTTTGAACTCCCCCAGTCTGTGCAATGGTGTCCTTCTGGTTCTCTCACATGCTTTCATCTGCTGTTCATTTCTCTCAGAACCTCTCCTTGTTCTTCCCATGTGCAGTATTGTTTCTGTTATTCCAACAGGATTCAATGGCATGTCTTAGTTTATGTGGAGCTTTGACCTGTTTGAGTTCTTTTTATATCTTAAGTGGGATTAATACCTGCAATTTATACATGCCATTCCTAGGCAGGCCTTTTGTTTGTTTAAATTTGTAGGCCTTTATATGTTCTTAGTTGGTTCCTCTTCCATGTAATATGTTTGTGTATTAATTTACTGCAACAAGGACTGGCATTACAAAACCTTTGACTCCCCCAAAATATTTGGACAGAGTTTTTAATTTTAAAGAATTTTTGCTTTCTTTTAAAAATGAGTTCTTTCAAATGAAACTCACATGTTGGCAATCTGTGTTAAGACCCAAAGTTCTCACTACAAGGGTTAGGAAAGGTGCCACACCCTGTTCATCATGTGCACATTGCTCACAGTCCAGTGGAAGCCACGATAAGTTAATTCCTGACAAGAGTCGCCGTAATAAATAATTGGATTTGTTGATAGTGAAGCAAGACTAAATTGCTCAATCCTCTGCTCTAAATAGCTCTAAACCATAGACCATGGTTTTTACTAACAGTGTCTCTCAGTTTAAAGCCAACCAACATAATTCCTAGACCATAACTGTTGTCCCTTGAATCAAGTGTAGGTCATTTTCTCAGACCTCGCTGTGCAGGTGGTTTGGCAAACATTGGCTCCCTGCCCCAGGCAGAAGCCATTTACAGTTACCCTTCTAATCATGGGAGAGATGTGGTTGGAAACAGCACTCCCAGATGCTACAGCCAAAGGATCCCCTGGTACACACGAGGCCCATGGCAGGAATCCCATCTGTGTCCCTGCACAGGGGCCAGAGGGTGATCCACCTTCACCCTGCTTCTGGGCTGAATCTTGGCCTCCCTTGGCAAATATCTCTTCAACAGCAAATTCCCTCCTTTGCAGCCGAAATCCTGCCCTCAGCAGCTGGTTGTGGGCAGATGTGCTTTAGGTGATGTGCACATGTCCAACAGTGGAAGTGAGAATGGGGAAGGTGTCCTAGAAGTGCATTTATAAGGCACTTCTGGGTGGTCTTCTTGGATATGATCAGAGCTTTCTTGGATTTGGATCAAGAAATGCTAAATGAGATGGACCATGATTGACTTCAGAGAGTTCTTACTGCAGTGTCTTTTAGGGGTTTTGTCCTTTGGAAAAATAATTGTCTTTTAAAAAGCCCACTGTTCCTGCTGTCTTGGAAAAGGCACAGCCCATGAACAGCATTATCATCTAGAATGGCCACCACTCACCACATCCATTCTGATTATGTAAAACTGAAAATCACTGCATTGAAATGAAGTTTCAATGTTTTTATTCAAAGCAGCTTCTCACAATGTATAAATACTGCATATTAACACACATGAAAAATACAACTTCTAAGGCACCCAGAAATGTGTCCAT